AGTAAGTTTCGTTTGTGTGTGAAGACGCTGCAGGCAGCGGCGCAGCGCAAATCTGTAAATGAATATTCCGAAGTGAAGTAAACTTCAACGGATTTCCCCTGCTCAGGGAGTAGGGAGCAATGGACACTGTGTAGGGACCATGTCAATCGGAACACAGTTCATGCACGGAGCTCACTTCTAACGTGACGTGACGTGACATGTGGCCAAGTATGGTGACCCATACTCTGAATTAGTGCTCTGCATTTACGTTGGTCTAGAACAATTCTTACAAATATAACACGACGTAGCTGGGCGCCGCGAACAGACGCCGCCGGTGTGCCTACACTCATAGAAAATAATGTATTTGAATTTTAAAGACATGGCGTGACGCTGCGCTTCTCATCTGGTGTGCGACCGCTTGAAACGCTGTTTTTTTCACCTCCGCTCACCTTCCGAAAGCGGATGATGTCAGGAAACAGTGGTTGCAATTTACTTTTTAACTCTGTTCCTGAGCATTATAACCCCAATTTGCTATTGTGTGCTGCGCATTTTACTGAGGACAGCTTCCACAACACGAGTGAGAAGTGCCGGATTCCCAAAAGCTTTTGTTGAAAGACGGAGTAAGGGGGAGTGGCAGTATGAACACCGTCTAAGCTGTTCGCCAATCACAACGCACTGGGACAGCTAACCAATCACAACACATTTTGTTTTTATTTTAATAATGTAAATTATGTGAAAAATTATGCGTTTTTCGAACCACCAAGCATGAGAGCATGTTCTAGTACACCCCCAAAACAAAATCAAGACTTTGTAAAAGAGCATAATAGGACCCCTTTAAACATTTTGACTCCAATTGGCTGACTTACACTGACTGTCTGGTTAAAATGATTCTTCTCTTGCAAATATACTGTACATTTTTTTTAAAGCTATATCGCCTTGCCTTACCCTTAATTTATGCCATCAGGTAAATAACTCAATTGAGAACTGAGAGAACAAACCATGAAGTTTTCCAGCAATCTTCCAGACCTGCACTTGCTCACCTTGCAGTTGATCATGTCAGCAATACGGGCTTCAGGGGCCTGTCCTGCTTTGGGCCGGACAAGCACATATGCAGTTTTGACACTGGAACAAGAGCGTAGCAGCTTCTCCAGAAGTACTTTCCCCATAAAGCCTGTGGCCCCTGTGATGAGAACATTTTTACCCTCGTAGTACTCTGGAATGGTGACCATCCTGAGTGCACCTTCCCTCCTCTGTTACGGCCCTGAAGAACACCAACAGAAACATTGTCACACAGTATCACACTGCAAACACGCACACATCTCGCAATGGATCTCACTCTTTGCTTCAGATATCGTGCTGTTTTGTCAGTATGCTGAAAATATTTCATGCAGGTCACTTCCTTCCTTTCCTGCCAAGACCTCAGTCCACAATTGCTGCATGACAATCAAATCTTAACTTTGTAAAAATGTGTAATGCCCACTTAAGAGCTGGTGTTGTATTACTCTCCTGGACCGCAGCTGGATTTTGACTTGCTGGGTCAATAAAAGTGCTCCTATACGGCATTAAGTTGCATCGACCGCAAAAAGCTTTACTTATCACTAATTGATAGGACAAATTAAAAGGCATAGTAAAATCAAAACAGTATAAACAGGTTTATTATTCTTATCTCTTGTCCACTGATAACAAGTCAATACAGCTCATCCACAGCGGATACTGGGTTAATATGTAATAAAATAAGAGATAAAGATTTTTCCTACTTTAAACAAGTAGAAGTCTAGATATTTTTTTTATAAAAGACTAACTAAAAATCGACTAGATTTTTTAAATAAAGAAATTAATACTTTAATTTAACATGATGCATTAAATTAATCAAAAGTGACAGTAAAGGCACCTATAATGTTACAAGAGAGTTATTTTTCATATAAATGCTGTTCCTTTAAACTTTCTATTGAAGAATCTTGAAAAAATGAACAAAAATATGTAGAGGGATAGCTGTTTTTAACATTGATAATAATAAGAAATGTTTCTTGAGCAGCAAATCAGAACATTAGAATGAATTCTGAAAGAGTGTGACACAGAAGACACTACTGAAAATTCAGATTTGCCATCACAGGAATAATTACACTAAAAAGATATTTTAAAATTCAATAATACTTCTAATATTTATGTTTTTACTATAATTTGATCAAATAAATGCAGTCTTGGAAAAACATAAGAGACTTCTTTCAAAAACATGAAAATAATCTTAATCTAAAAATCTTAGTTTAAAAATAAAATTACAACAAATTGTATGAATTTAAATTTATAACTGTATACAGATAATTTTAAAATACAAAGATTTACATTTATTAATTAATATTTACAATATACACATTTTTTAAATTAAGTTTCCACAAATTTAAATATTAAAAAAATACTATCTATCATTGAAAGTTATACAGGTATTATAATTATACACAAAGACAAAACTCATTCACACTTGAACAAACATTGGAAAATGACTTTTTGCAATTTTGACAGTCTCATAAGATAATTTCACCTAGCTGACAAAATTAAAACAAACATTTAAAAACATAAAAATTACAACTAACAGCTAAATGTTTAAAACCAAATGTTTACCTTTGCATTTGCAAAGTCTAAAAATGCATGTAAATTATCAAAAATATACAGGATCTATTCTAATCTGCATTTGACAATTTCTGGCCTCAATTTCACATCTTACACATATTCAACTCAATCTATGATGTTTCAATCTCAGCCTGCCGCTTTCTTCCTAATGCACCCGGCCGCATCATATGATCCTTTCCGTAAACTTAGCAGGCCACTCAGTATAACAAGTTCCCGCTGGCGATGAGCTGTTTTTGCAGCCTCTTTCTGTTCGGTGCTGCAGCCTCGCATTGTTTGCTGCATAACACCGGTGCCAAGTTCCACAGCTGCATGCACCCCAAACACAGACAGAGTATATATACACACACACACTGCATGGCAACAAATCCTGGGCCGTTTCCTGACTTTCAGGGCACAATCTGTATCAAAAAATCTCAAATACATTCAGTGAATTGCATGGGTTATTTTGACACACTTGCCTTAAGGGCAAGCAGCCAATCTAGAGCTAATGAATGCCAGTTTAATTGTAGGGGTCAGGTGGATTATTCCAGAAGGCGAGATGTTGTGCAGTGCAATTTCTTTCCAAGAGCCACTCAGCACTTCTGTGACCAAGGACCCAGAGCTGCCTCTGCAGTGACACTGGCATTAAACAGCGTCCAACTACAGGGAGCAAAGCTAAAACGGGAGTTCTGGGACCGTGGGCAAAAGAAATCAGTCCCTATAGAGAAGCTGGCATTTTCTAACCCCTGAAAACTGATCGCTTGTTCGAGAAAGAACCGATTGGAGATATAACCATCCTATATGGGGCCATCTGACATGATCAAGTCCCTTTCATGTACACCAGAAGCAAATTGATCCTAGATCCCACATCCTCAGTTTGAATAATTCATGGTTCACATGGGCAGCTGCCATGCACTTGGGCACCTGAATGTACTGAATTGTACTACTGTAACAAATAAGATGTATATAAACAAATACCAACGTAATAACAACAGAATGACTGTAGTCAGAGGAGTGCTTTAGCTTAAAAGCTTTCCATTAAGAACTTATATAAAAGTACTCAAGGCTAATGTGATCGAATATCGTGTGTGTGCATAGTAAAAAATATTGGACCGACAGATCTCAGTACTGAAGTATACAATCAAAGACACAGTGACAGGGAAAAAAAATGGTGTTGTCACAAGACTGCACTGCCTTTGCATCTTGTGATCCTCATTAAAACAACAACAGTGGGGATGTTCATCCAAATTAAATGGCAGAAATATGCAATTAACTGTTTAGAAGTTGAAAAATCATGGATACAGACCAAAAATATTCAAAATTAAATAAGCCCTGTCAGACTGGTGTTCATTCCTGATGCTGTTTTTTTTTCAGGGTTTCCCATGCATTGATTTATTTGTGGCGGGCCACCACAATATCAAAACTGACTTCATTGAATAAACAGGAGCACTGCACAAAGTACTCAAGGCTAATGTGATCGAATATCGTGTGTGTGCATAGTAAAAAATATTGGACCGACAGATCTCAGTACTGAAGTATACAATCAAAGACACAGTGACAGGGAAAAAAAATGGTGTTGTCACAAGACTGCACTGCCTTTGCATCTTGTGATCCTCATTAAAACAACAACAGTGGGGATGTTCATCCAAATTAAATGGCAGAAATATGCAATTAACTGTTTAGAAGTTGAAAAATCATGGATACAGACCAAAAATATTCAAAATTAAATAAGCCCTGTCAGACTGGTGTTCATTCCTGATGCGTTTTTTTTTTTCAGGGTTTCCCATGCATCGATTTATTTGTGGCGGGCCACCACAATATCAAAACTGATTTCATTGTATAAACAGGAGCACTGCACGTAGAGCTGCACGATTATGACAAAAATCCTAATTGTCGATTATTCCCTTTAAATTGTAATTGCGATTATTAATTACGATTATCATAATTTACATAGAATGATGTTTATACCATTGTTCGATGCAACTGCATGCTGTATTTTTATATGAAAATAAACAAGCTGAAAACACTAACTGAAAAACCTTTAGTGCTTTTCTATAGTATTAAGCCTCGAATGTCAAATATACATCAGATTGGTTTCTTCTTTAAATTATAAAAAAAGTTAAAATATGAATGATATATATATATATATATAAAATATGGGGGCGGGGGAGTGCCGCCACAAATAGAGTGTATGGCTGTGGGAAACACTGAATATAGGCTACTCGAAAAGTAGGCCCTAGATAATAAACACTACTATTATAAAGGTTCTAAACATGTGTTATAACAAAATAGTTACCATATTTTCATTTATAAATGAGAAAATGAAATTGTGTGTCATTTTTTTCAGCTTGAACGTAGTATGGAGTTATGAATCAGAACAAACCTTTTAAGTGAACAAATCATTCTTGTTTACTTGAAGTCTTGAACTCATATTTTCCATTCAACTCTCTCCGTTTTGAAGTGCAAGACTGTTTTCTCTCTTTAAAAACTAATTAGCCTATAGAATGAGTACAGGAGTGTAACAACGTTTGTAGTTCGGGAAGAAAGAGGCGGGAACCGGCGGACATTTAAACAATTTAATAAAATAAACACAAAATGAAAGTAAAGCGGCAGCCCCTCTCGGAAGACTGCCGTATGCAAAACACAAAATGAAGTCCAGGCCTTGTCCTCTCTCGTCCAACACTGTCGTCACTCCTCCTTTTATCCTTCCGGAGCTCCTCTGTGGGACTCGAGACTGGTGAGTGGTGCAGGTGTCGTGCATTAGCATTTTCTCCACCGGCCTCGCTCCGATCCCGCGGCTCTCAGCCCCGCTCCTCTCGTCACAAGGAGATTTTGACATTTGACTACATGAATGAGCATTGGTTGGACTTATTTAAGGAATATGCCTTTACCGGTCAATCAGAGTTTCGAGTCCGAACGACTCAAGCCGGCTATGGGCTTTGAGCAAAGCAAAACTGATTAAATCGACAAATCTCATTTGTGAAAAAAGGGACCTGATGACTGAATGTACGAGAAAAGGTTATTTGAGTCATGAGTCAATTTCGTTCACAAAGGACTGATGAATTCTGTGTAGAGTTGACTAAATGGAGAAAAAAGATGCTTAGTCTTTCTGGAGTCTATTAGTTTTGTAGACGTAAATTAAATTAATGTGGATTCTGTTTCAGTCATAAGTGACTTGATGTTTTAACAAATCGGTTGAGTAAGTGACTTAAAGGCACAATGTAAGATTTTATTAAAATATCCAAAAACCACTAGAACAGTGTTACATATTTTGCCGCGTTTCTCTATTAACACTAAAGCTGTGGCTTTAATTCCTTTAGAAACAATGATGCTACCAGCTCCTTGTTGAGAAAGATAATGTAGCTCTTGAGCGATTAAGCTATTTAGTTGATAAAATAGCGGGGCAGCGCTAAAAATTTTGTTCCTGAATGTCTGAGTGCGGCTGCAACGTGATCTGTGTGTGTGACTGCACTTAACATCAAACTGCTTCTGTTTCACACAAATGCTGGCACAGACGTGCATGTTCGGAAGCGGAGCTGCGCGGAAACTTAAAAAAAAATGTTGTGCACACCGCCACGCGAAACGACGCCACACGCACTCAAAGCGAACTTGCTGACGCGCGAGTATAAATCAGCCATAAATCAGCCTTGAGCGTTAGATACAGTGAAGACAGCGCGTTAGTTTAGAACTCTTCTCTTCCTGTTAATGATGTCATAACCCCTCGATTTGCAAATAGAATATATAGAAAATATGGAAACACCAAAGACGCTTTAATATGTTGTGCATTTTAATAGACCGGTGATGACTAGGGCTGGGCAAAAAAAATAATTTTTCGATTCGCTTTACCCCACATATGCACGACCGGAAGAAGCAGAAGCGGTCGACCGTGGCATAATAAAAGTTTTGCTACTTTCGAGCCGTGTGTCTCGCTCGTTCAGCTGCCTCGTTTCACTTCGACGGCTTTCAGCCTCACCCTGCTTCATTCTACTACATTAATAAATCATTAGCTCATCCATGAACATGTCCTGTCGGATTGCATCGGCTGTGGGGATGAAGACGACAACTCCCATGATTCCACACTTAGTCACGGCGTCATCAAACTATGCCTTTGTCTCTTTGTTTATTTTGAATACGCGCCCTCTAGCGGCGAAAATTACATAGTGCCTTTAATGACTCACTTAAAACCATAGACTGTAAAAAAACATGGACGTAGTATCCGTGACGTCACCCGTAGGTTTCTGAAGAGCAATTTTGAAGCCTAAGATGAGCAGAGCCGACCGCCGCCATCTTGGCAGCGAGTCAACGCTCCCGGACACTCCCGGATAATCGAAAATGGGCAAAAGGATGGGACGTGGCTGGAGCGGAGGTGCCTGGTTGCTGAA